TAAATGTACAAATATATATCTATTTATATATATATATATATATATATATATATATTAGAGTAATAAGTAAAAAATAATATGACAGATGTCAAAATGTATTAAATATGTATATTTTGTATATGTATATTTTAGCAAGATAACTTAAAATTTTGCTCTTTATATAGAATTTAATCCAATCCAGCGTCACTCAAGTTTTTAATCGAATATCTCAAAAATGTATTTACAATATATAAAGACAAATATGGAGTTGTGACGTTTATAAAAAAAAAATCATTTAATTAGGAAATAATTAGGAGTATAATCAGGAATATCCGCGCGCGTGAAAAGAAACAGATGTGTTGTAACCATGATGGAGCGTATCCCTCCCGAGGCCCGCCATATTACGGGCGAAGGTGGCCTGTGGAAACAAGGATTTTCAAGATCATTTCTAGGAGAAATAAGCCACGTCCGATTCCAACGGGTACCGGCGATGGTGCACTACCATTTGCGGCAGTTTACTAATTCCACGCCCATCCTAAGTTTTACGGCCGACCAACCGACCGGACCACCGAAGGCAATCGCTCTGTTGAAGGAGCCGGTGTTTATCCGCGGTGAGAAATCTCGAGCAAACGAAGAACGGAAACCAATATCCCGCAAGCATTGCGGTTACGTACTCTCGAGGGACCGACGGGAATGAAGATGAGAAAAAGACGAGAGAGATGAGAATTCTCGAACGACTCGCGATGGCGCCTTCCGTGAGATAGACATTATTTAGCTGATTTGATTTCTACTAATAAACAACAAAGCCTTTACTAAGTACTAGCGTGTGAATACTCAATTGCAAATAAGATAAAAATTGCGGTTTATTATATTATTTGGCATTTGACAAAAATTTAGGTAATCAATGTTAAATATCAATAGATGTTTATGTGACACATTATAATTTGAAATATACATCTATATTCCGTTGCTAAATTTCTTCTCAGCATCGTCCTCAAAATTGAAGTCAAATTAGAGTTTCTAAGTTCTAATTCGAATATTCAAAAACTCCGTTGTGATCCGAAAACTCAAAATCGCATTATTTAAATTATTCGGATATCCAAATTATTTGGATTTGAAATTTAAATAAAATCTAGATTATTCAGATCTATGTCCAACTCGAAATCGGATTTAAATTTATTCGCTATCCGGATAAGTGAATATGAATTCGAACGAATCTGAACGAATCCTAGTTCAAACTTTGAAAATAAGATGATACTATTGAAATCACCAAATTACGTATATTTACGTATATATATATAATATATATATATATATATATATATATATATATATA